GCAGGTGCTCCTTGCGCCGGAAGGCCTTGCCGCACTCCGGGCATGCGTGCGGCTTCTCGGCTGAGTGACTCTGCCGATGGCGCAGCAGGTGCGCGGGCTTCAGCGGCGCCTTCCCACACTCAGGGCATGCCACGCCGCCCGGGGCCAGGAAGGCGGGCAGGCCAGGCGCCAGCGGGGCTGGCGGGGGGCTGCCTGGCTCCTGCTTGTAGGGGCGCACGGCGCGGGTCTCACCGGGACCCGGGGGCTCAGCCGCAGGGCCTGCGAGAGAGACAGAGACACGGGGTTACCATGGTCACGGGGTCACGAGGGGGGCGGGCAGGGCCCGTGCATACTGATGCACTGTGTGCGGGGGTGATATGGGGACGTGTCCGCGCATGCGCACGAGGCAGCAGGTCGCCACGTGGCCATTACCAGGCCTAGGCGGGGAGAATGGTGCGTGAGGGGGGAGGAGGGGTGGCCTGGGGCTGGGGGTCGGCTGAGCTGGACCCGAGCCCTCCTCCTGTCTGACCCGAAGGCTAGGCCCCCAGCCCTCCTCTCTTTCCACGCGGCCATCTCCCTGCGCACTAAGCACCCAAGCCGGCCCGCCCTCCCTGGGCCAGAGCCTAGGTCGGGAGCCCGAGGCTCCTCTTCAGCTGGCCTGGGAGGCTCTGGGTGTGGGGGATCCCGCCTTGTAGAAGACTGACCGCCAGACCCCCAAACAGGGCAGATGGAGGCTGCTGGGCCCAGCCCTGGCCTGGGGGAGCCCCGTGCTGCAGGATCTGCAGCAACAACTTCAGGTTTATGCCACACATTTCCAGGCATGGTAGTGCATGTCTGCGATTCCAGCACCGCGGGCACTCAGGCAGGAGGACCCCAGGTTCGAGGCCAGCCTGAGTTACAGGCAGCGTCCCTATTTCCAAGGACCACATCCGCAAGGGTGGCTGTGGGGGTTTGATCGGCTAGAAGTGGCACCTGCCACACGTCAGTAGACAGTGCTCCCACCTGACCGGTGCTGGCCTCCAAGGCAGGGCATCTGAGTGGCTCGCTGACCGAGGACAAGCACACAGCAGTCTGGGCCCTGCCACGGCCTGGATGCCGGGGATCAGCCCAAGGATGGGGCAGGAGGAGGACCAGCTGCTCACCTTGGGTTATCACCCCACTATCCTCCTTCGCAGCACTGGCCCCGGAGCCTTCTGCCAGCTCACGGGGGATCTTCACTGCAGACGGCTGGTCTGGGGAGGTGGCTGGGCCCTGCAGTGAGAAACAGGGTTCAGATGAAGAAACCGCAGCCTTGGGCCCTAGTTCTTCCCCCTCCCACGCGGCCAGCAAGCAGGGCATGCTGTGCTCAGGAAGCAAGCTGTCTCTTGGTGGGGAGCTCAAGCCACCCTGCAGGGAGGCCACACCCCCGGCCAGTCCTGATGTTCCCAGGGAGCCAGTTGGAAGCCATGGGTGTTGGCTCAGTGCAAGAGGCAGCTTGGCCGGCTCCCGGCTGCTCTGTCCTTCACACCCTAGCCGCCATCTCACTCTGCTCAGCCAGAGTTGATATTTGGGGCTTTGCAGGTTCTGTCTGAGGCAGCCACAGGAGGAAGGCGGTGTCGAGTGCCAACGAGTTTCCCAAGTCAGGTTGGGTTTGCGTACAGATTTCTACCTTGCCTGGCCAGGGTGTTACCAACTCTACCTAGCTGAGCCCCGTAACACCCTGGGCACCACAAGGCGGGCAGGGTGTCCCCCACACCCTCATGGCCCACAGCTCACCCAGAGCTCCTCCAGCAGGGCCACAGCCTCCTCGCCACTCTGGGGCTGCCGGCTGCACACCCAGGCCTGGGTGTCGGCCGGCAGCGCGCTCAGGAACTGCTCAAGCACCAGCAACTCCAGCATCTGCTCCTTTGTGTGCACCTCGGGGCGCAGCCACTCGCGGCACAGGGCACGGAGCAGCCCCAGGGCCTCGCGCAGGCCAGGCGCATCGCCCAGGTGGAAGTGGCGGAAGCGGTGCCAGGGCGAGTCTGCCGTCAGGGCCTCGGTGGCGGGGCCCTCCTGCTTCACCGGCTGTGGCACCAGGGCCTCCATGGGGCCTCAGGGTTGTCTGTGGTGCCTGCAGGAGGGAGAGGGAAGGTGAGGCCTAGAGCCAGCGGGGCACAGCTTCAAGTTGCCCACGTCCCAGCTGTGAACCTGGCGTGCCACTGGCCCTGGCCATCAAGAAAACTCAAAAAGGCCATGGGACATAGCTCAAGCAGTACAGTACTTGTCCACCAAACTTAAGGACCCAAGTTCAAGTCTCAGTGCTGTCAAAAACAAAATACTTGGAAGTTTTAGCCAAGCATTAGTGGCTCACGCCTGCAATCCTAGCTAAGGAGTCTTAGATCTGAAGATCGTGGTTCGAAGCCAGCCCATGAAAAGAAAGTCCATGAAACTCTTAACTCCAAATAACCACCAGAAAACCAGAAGTGGCGCTATGGCTCAAATGGTAGAGCACCACCCTTGAGCAAATGAGATCAGAGACAGCGCCCAGGCTCTGATTTCAAGCCCCACAACTGCCCCCCACCCTTCAGACAAAAAAAAAAAACAAAAACAGGTACACAGGACCTGGGAAATGACAAGCATTTATCATGTGCCATCTGCCTGCACCCCAGAGCAGCTGCTGCAGCTGTCACAGCCAGCACCATGCCCCTCAAACTCACGGTGAATGCCTAGCCTCAGTGCAACTGGAGGAGAGGCCCAGATGTCAGCCCTGGCCTCGACGGTACCCTGACCTCACACTTCCAGCCTCCAGAGCTGGAGGTGAGGAGCCGAGGCCAGGGTGCAACCCCCTCCCTCCCCCATGGCAGAGGTGGCCATGGGTGTCCTGCTGTGGAGGAGACGGAGCCAGCCTGCTCCCTTGGGGGCACTGGTCCCAAAATGGAGACATGGCGACCCTATGCCTGCCTAGCCACCTCTGCTGTGGCATCAGAGTTTCACCCCCAGTGTGGCCAGAGTGCCACACAGTGTGTCCTGGTCACCTGTGGGAACTGGCAAGGGGGAGGTACATCACCACGGCTGGCATTGCCTGTGGAAGCTTGTGGGGGGTGGGGGAGGACTGGAGACATGGTGATGGTGGTGTGGTAGGTGCTGCTCCCAGCTCGGAGCGGAGGCCCTCGGATGTCCTCCTACCAGGGATTCTGCAAGGTCAGACTGCTGTTATGGTAAGTAACGCTACCAGGCGAGACTCTGCTCTTGTTAGGTCAAAGCAAAGAAACTGGTTTGGGCACTCTGTACCAGGGCAATGCCTTCTGCACCTCTGTCCTCAGGCACAATCCATAAAGTGAAGAGTTAGCTTACTGCCAGCCATGAAATGGCACACACTGGCACTGTCCTGCTTACCTCCATCTCTTACTACCACACATTGCAGTCAGTCTCCCTTTTTGTCCTCAGATGGAGGATTAGCTCCTACTCAGGGCCTTTGCACCTGCCACTTCTACCTGCATTACCTGCCTCCCCTCCCGCCCCCCGCCCCTTGCTCGGTGGTCTCCTGAGCTGTCAGGGGCTCCCAGGCTGTCCACCCTAACTCAGCAGCTATGTGTCCTTCCTTTATCATTTATGTGTGTGTCTTAGACTTGAACTCGGGGCCTGGGCACTACACTGCTTTTTCACTAAAGGCTAGTGCTCTATCAACCTGAGCCACAGCTCCACTTCTGCTTTGGGTTGTTAATTGGAGATAAGAGTCTCACTTCCCTGTCCAGGCTGGGCATGGAAATGTAATTCTCATATCTCGGCCTCTCAAGTAGCTAGGATGCCTGGCACACTGTTCTTACTGTGTTTTCTTTTAGCATCTCTCCAGGACTGGGGACCAGCCATACTTGTGTGCTACCTTCTTCCACGAGGCTAAGAGACCTCCATGAGGGGAAGCTCAGGATTTTGGTGCTCCCTGGGACATTTCACAGGATGACAAATTACGTGAGGTTGGTGTCAGTGCCCCCTTTTGCTGGGAGAGAAACTGTCACTCTGAAGTCCTTCGGGTAGGCCCGGCCAGGACACGTCCCAGGCACATAGCAAGCAACGGTACCACGTCTGTCAGTCCGTGTCTAAAGAGTGCTCCAAGCAACTGCAGGGCAGCCAGGCTCCCCACCCCCCAGTCCTGGGTGGGAGACCTGCAGCCACCGTAGAGGGAAACATGCACACTCAAGAGTGTGGAGCTGGGAGCCAAGCCCAGTGCCAGGGCAGCCTGGATTGGTATCGTGGCGTGTCCGGGGCTTATTGTGTGCACCTGCAGCACAGACGGCTGACAGCCTCTCTCTCCTGCTGCCCAGTGCCCAGTGAAGATCTGCTTCCACTCTGAGCGAAAGGCGGGGGCTGGAGGAGCCACCCAGCATGGCAGTGCCTGCCTGCACACCCTGTGGTGTCAGCGTGACCACAGCACGCACCTGCAGCTAGGGCCAGGTACACCAGACAGACCGCTCGGGCGCTAGGCAGATGTTTACTGGGAGGGCCGGGCCCGGGGCTGTCACGGGCCTGCCTCTGCCTCCGGCCCGGCGCCCAGCTCAAGTAGGCGTTTGCTGCCGTCACAACGTCGCGGAGGTGCAGGACAGGCCACCCTGGGGCCGGCGTTAGCACGGGAGGAGAAGGTGGCAAGCGATCGGTGGACGTGTCGAGCGGTGGCTGGCTGGCCATCCGTCCGTGTGTCCGGCTCCCGCTCTCACGAGCTGAGGGGGAAATCCTCAACCTCCACCTCTCCCCAGCGGTGGCTGCCTTTCCCCTAAGCCTTCCGGAGGCCATCGCCGGCCCCAGGCCCCGGCCTGGCCCTGAGCCCGGCTCTCCTGCCTCGCTTTCCCCTGCAGCGCCTCGGGGCCCCGCGCCCCCTCCCCC